TCTTTTTCTTTAAAATGATGTGTCCTTGGTTGAACTGCAAGTAGTTTCATGCCTGATACATCAGGGAGTGTCCAGAATCTACAATTGCTCAGAGAGAAGAGGATCAAGGAGAGAGGAGGGACATTTACAAGAACAGCATTTGCAGAGCCCTCATAGCAAATCTCACCAACTAATCGGATGCTTGCACTGGATCAAACTTCACTAAAAGTTTACAATGTCATTTGAGTTTAATAACAGAGAAAAAACAGACACCAAAGACTGCCTTCAAATGGGTCAGAACCATAGGCTGTGTCTCATTTCAGAGACCGCATCAGGCTGAGCGCGCTCAAGCACGCTTAGCTGAGCGTGCTGCCATTATGTGGACTTGAGTACCCTGAGTGAGATGGTCAGTTTTTTGTGAAATGGGACAGACTACCCTTCGGAGGACTTCCTGGTTGAGTCACCAAATATCCCCGCCCTCACGGAGGACAAGCTGCGGAGCGCAGCATTTATTTTTTAATTGTGCGACCTTGCACAGACACAAAACAATAAACACATACAAGCACAGATTATTCCCACAAAATCCATCCAATGATTGCATGTTTTGTATGAAGGAGTATGAGGGCCATACTGAGAATTTTTCTCAAGACTTTGAGATTTAAGACAATGACAGCAGAGCTCCAAGAAGAAAAGACCAGAAGCAAGCTTCTGAAAAAAAAAAAAAAACCCTGAAAAAAAAAAGACCCTTGTGGTTTTTCCCTCCGCCATGGCAGGGTTTTTATGCCCCTCCTCGAGCTACCACCTTACCGTGGTGGAGGAGTTTGTGTGTCCCAATGATCCCAGGAGCTATGTTGTCAGGGGCTTTATGCCTCTGAAGGGTCACCCAATGCAGACAGGTCATGGGGGAGGGACCAGACTAAGAGTAGCTCATCCAGACATAGGTGTCAGGCAAAAAAAAAAAAAAAAAAAAAACTGAAGAAAAAAACTAAAGAAAACAAACCTTAAAACGGACAAAAAACCTTTAGAACAAAAAACTCTGAAAAAAAAAACTAACAACCTAAAGTGGGTGTTTTGCACAAAAAAAATAAATAAATAGAAGAGCAATCTTTGTATTTAAAAACGATCGTTTAAATACAAACAGCATATTAAATAAGTGCTTATCAGGATTTAGGAGGAACCCTAGTACTGAGACAGCCCTTTTGAAAATTTTGAATGACATCAGGTGCAATTTAGATAATCGCAACCTCACAGTCTTGGTCCTGCTGGATCTAACCGCCACTGCCTTTGATACAGTAGACCATCACATTTTATTAGATAGACTTAAGCACCTGGTCGGCCTCTCAGGCACTGTTTTTAACTGGTTCACCTCTTATCTCACTGATCATCACTTCGTTTCAGGTCCGTTTCAGGAATGATTGTAAGGAGCAGACCATCCAGATCCTGAGAGCCGAACAGGACGCCATGCGTCTGAAAATCGCAGAGGAGATTGCTGTCCTGCAGCAGGCAGCTTTTGAAACGGAGAGGAGGCACTGGGCTGAGCTGGAGGAGCTGAAACAACAGCTCTACATCCAGACAGTCGGTATGCTGGACAACGAGGAGTTTAAAGTGGCCCAAGAAACCAGCTTTAAGACAATGACAGCAGAGCTCCAAGAAGAAAAGACCAGAAGCAAGCTTCCGCAGGAAGAACTGGAGCAGATCAAAAAAATAAACCAGGAGCTCAGAGGAAAAACAATGAATGTACTGTCACAATATTGTACTGTAAATGTTATGGGAGAAAGCCAATAAATGTGATGCTGATCAGGATGATAGCTGTGTTAGCAAATGCTAGTCAGCAAGCTAGCTAGCTAGCAAGTTGATCTGAAAGATAAACAAATGAAAACTGCTTTTTGTGTTGAATTTCCTCTCAAAGGTATTGAAAGTCACAGTTAAAATAGTTATAGAAGAATAGGACACACACACACACACACACACAAACAAACACACAGGTTGTACTAGAATGTATAGAACTTTGTAGACCTATTCACATTTTTAAAGGGGCAAACTGCATATTGCACATTTAAATTAGCAGATTAGTCTCACAACCCTTTTAAAATACATTTTAGCTCAGTGTTTCAGAAACTTGAGGGATGGCCTAGGAAAAACGTGGCTTCTAAATCCAGTGAAGGTGATGAACACAAAAAAGGTAAAGAATGTGGTATCCACTGCACTACTGACACTTCCCAACTGGTGGTACTAAGGGACTCATGAAAGACTTTGGTTAAGGCAGCAGAGATAAAGAGGACATGCCAGCCTCATAGACCTTGCAAGAACCACGCCCAATGGGGAGTGTCCTCAGGTTTGGTACCACAGAAAATGCAGGAGTTACTTCACCATGAAGAAATAGTTAGATGCGCAAGTATCAAAGTTGCAAGGTAAAGGCAGCTCAGCCAAAAGGTTGCGTGCTACACCAATCAGCTCAAGGGTGTTTGAGGAGAAATGCATCTCTTGTGAAAAAACCAGCAAATATATCAAGGGTTAGAAAACCCACGAGATCCTGGTCAAGTGCTGTGAGCTACGGGGAGACAGCAGGATACGAGAATCAGCTGTTAAGAAGCTAGATGACCGAATGTTGGAAATCACCAGCAGGGAGCTTGTTGCAGCAGAAGGGCAGTATCGCAGATCCTGTTATCGCGCATACACCCGTGAAGAGCCAGCTCTATGTAGTGGACTTGCTGACGGTGAAAAAGATGCCACTGATCTGTACGAAACTGCAGAAACACAGGCTCTCCAGGAACCTGTCATGCACATAAGGACTCAAGTTCTCCCTTGCCATGACCATGGAAACCCTCCGGAAGAAATTTAAAGAATTGATGTCATGTCATGGAGCCAATCAAGTAACCAGGTCATCCATGAACAATCTCTGTTACTATCTGAAAAAAGAACTGGCACAATCTATCCACTTCTGCCCTGATGACGATGGAAAACTTCTACTATACACCAACGGTCTCTCCAAGAGTGACCTTGTGAAGAGAACATATGCCCTGCAAATTGAGCTGGATGCTCTCAGAACTCAGGCCCCCTAATGTAGAACAGGACAAAGATGTCATCCCTCACTCAGTCACCAAGTTTCTCCAAACACTGTTGACAGGGAAGCCAGCTGATCATCAGCCATCTAAAAAGTTTGAACAACTCACCAACTTCCTAGGCAGTGATCTGGTGTTTGCCGTCACTGGTGGTAAAACCAAACCACCAAAGCACATCCTTCTGCCTTTTGCAGTGAAATCTCTGACTGGGAATACTGAACTGATACGTATCCTTCAATGACTCGGCCATGGTGTTTCCTACACACAGGTTGAAGAAATTGACACCTGCACTTTGCCTTCAGAAACAGGAGGGATCCCAGACAGGAGTGACATTGCCAAGCAACATCTACTAAGGAGTCTTCACAACCCTTGCCTGAGACAACATTGACCGATTGGAGGAGACAGTCAGTGGTGCAGGCACATCACATTGAGTAAATGGCATTGCTGTGCAGCCCAGAATCATTGGACCAATGCTTCAATGTGAAAAGATGACACTGAAAAAGTCCAAGAAAAGGAGCATCTCACCAGCACCAGTATCACTCCAGACATACAATGCTGGTCAAAAAGTTGGACCTCCAGTCACTGTTAGCCTAGACGTGAACGCAGAACAACAGGTCAAAAATTCCAGAGTCAAGAACTTGATCTGGCTGCTCACTCAGATATGTAACTCAGAAGACCAAACCATTAGCAGCTGGACTGGGTTCAACATCCTCACACGCAACAGCATGCTTGTGGTGCAGGACACTGTAAGTTACCTACCAACAATCAACACCCCAGCATATGAGATGTCAACCATTAATGAAATCCTGACTCAAACTCTGGAGATCATGCACGCCCTTGGACTAGAGAAGATAGTTTGTGTCCTTGACCCAGCACTCTATGCCAAGGCAACAGAAACCACATGGAAGCAAGTTCCAAAACATTATACTGAGAATGGGGGCGTTAAATACTATCTGCAACCTTTTATCAGTCATGGGGAAGAGGTTTCAGGGTGCTGGCCTGCGTGATTTGTGTGTAGAGTCTGGAGTGATTGCAGAACGATCCATCACTTCTGTGATGGAGGGTCGCAAGTACAACCGTGCTGTCAGGCTTCACAAGGTCATGTATGAGGCGATCATGAGGGTAGCCTGGAAGGGATTTCTCCTTTGGATCCAAATTAACCATAGAGCAGAGATTTCTCATCTGGAGAAAGCCCTTGGAATCATCTCCACTTTCCATGATGAAGTGTCACAGGCCTCCTTCTCAGCGCTCATAGATGATGCATCCTGCAATCACATCATCCAGTTGTTCCAAGAGTACATGGACTCCCTCAGGACTAGTCATCCTTTAGCAGCTTTCTGGGTGTCTTACCTTGACATGGTTGAGATCATGCTAGGCTTACTCTGTGCAACAAGAGAGGGGGGATTGGATGCTGCACCTAGCATCAGTCCGTGCAATGATACTATGGTGCTTTGCCTACGATAAGCTCAACTATGCACGTTTTCTGCCATATTACTATGCCACAATGTCATGTCTTCCTGTTGACCATCCAGAGGTGCACCAGAATTTTATGCAAGGTGGCTTCAGTGTCCAGCTTGGTAGCCATAATCATTTTGGCCGGATCCCTGTGGATCAAACAATCGAGGAACCTGTCAATTGAGATACTCAGACAGCAGGAGGGACAAAGGGCTTCAGCCTGAAACGGGCTGCTGGGGAAAGGTACTACCTGACCTCTGAGTACCGCAGCATGCTCCTCAAGAGCTGAGAACAATGGTGAGATACTGACAGAGTCATGTCAGCCACCCAGATCTGCAGATAACCAGAATTTCCAGAGATGAAACCGATGTTCAATCAATTGTGAAGCTTGTTGAAGATGACTGGACGAACCCATTCGACCCAAATGCAAGTGAGTTTGTCAGCTTGTCAACAGGCACTGTCCCCCCTCCAGATATAGCAAACGACCTTCTTGATGCCCATAAAATGGGCACAGAAGCATATGAGACATTCAAGCAGGATCGACTTGAAGGCCACAAACCAAAGACCAAGTTCCATGACAAGATGACCAAGAAGAAACTTAAGACATTCACTGACATCCAGAAGAAGCCTGCAAGCAACCCAAACATGATTGTTTTGCAGGCTGACAGAAAGCTTTTTGGCTTCATGGTCCTGGCAGCAGAGAGCCGCCATCTTCAGATGGCAGATGTCCTCTCCCGCCCTCTAGGGTCATTGCCATGGTCACTTGCTAATGGAGATGGGACACTACGGAGGACGAGCAAATTGGTTCTGGCCAGACATCTGCAGAAGCAAATCATGCCAGCAGAGACCATCCCTGCTCCATCTGCTACCGTCATTGATGGGATGTGTCTGATACAGAAAATTCAGGAGAGAGCAGACACTTTCTCACCTCGCAGGATCTGTCCTTATTCGGATATTACATGAAGGAGCAAGCAGCCAAAGAATTGATGTCGTCTTCGACGTTTATCGGGAGGACCGGCACCACAGGAGGCACACCACCACAGTTCCATAATATTGCACCAGGCCACCAGATCCAGCCATGGAGAAAGTTCCTCAGCAGCTCAGCTAACAAGGCAAACCTTATGAGATTCTTAGTGGCTGAGTTTAAGACACCCAAGATGAGAACAAAGCTGAACAACAAGGTGCTGTATGTTACCAGTGAGGAAAGCTGCTTACACATGACCGGGGATCAGTGTGTTGAAGTTGCAGGCCGGCAATCAAATCAAGAGGAGGCTGACACAAGAGTGATTTTTCATGCAGCCCATGCTGCGCAGGAAGGCTATAGTGCTGTAGTCATAACATCTGAAGACACTGATGTGCTGTTGCTCTGCCTCGCTTTTTCTACAGATATCTCCTGTCCCTTATATCAGAAATGTGGAACAAAGAACCGGGTTCGGTATCTCGATATCACAAAACTAAGCTAGGGCCTGGGAGATGACGTGTGTAATGCTCTTGTTGGTATGCATGCATTTACTCGATGTGATACTGTGAGTGCCTTCGCAGGCCGTGGGAAGCTTAGAGCTTTGAAGCTTATCACAAAATCAAAGCAGTTCCAAAAATAATAATAATAATAATACATTTTATTTAAAAGCACCTTTCTGAACACTCAAGGACACTGTCAGGGCATAAAAACACAGTTAGAAACATAATTAAAATAAATAAAAATAACATACAAGTGTGAAAGTGGACAGTTCGAGTGAATATGCGATTTGGAATAGGTGTGTTTTGAGTTTGGATTTAAAGTGGGGTAGTGAGTCCATGTTTCTGAGGTCCGGGGGGAGAGAGTTCCAGAGTTTGGGGGCAGAGCGACTGAAAGCCCTGCTCCCCATGGTGCTGAGCCGGGCAGAGGGCACAGAGAGGTGGAGCGAGGAGGAGGATCTGAGGTAGCGTGAGGGGGTGGCGATGTGGAGGAGATTGGAGAGGTAGGAGAGGGCAAGGTTATGGATGGCCTTGAAAGTGTACAGACGGATTTTGTAGTTGATTCTGGACCTGACGGGGAGCCAGTGGAGCTGCTGAAGGACAGGGGTGATGTGGTGAAAGGAGGGGGTTCTGGTGATGAAAGTGTTCCTTGAGTTGGGAAAGTCCTGGAATTTATTAACAGACCTGTTTCAGAGGCTGCAAGAATTCACATACAATCTGTACTCTGTACCCACAACAGCAAAGGACATCAACCCAGCCCGCTACCAACTTTTCTGTGCATGCCGTGGGGAGTGTGAATCGAGCCAGCTACCAGGACTGTCTCTTTCTGCATGCCATGCGTGCCAACTACCAGGCAGGCATCTGGAGAGGTAAGAGATATCTGTAACAAAGAATATCATATGTAACATATCTGTAACAAGAAGCATTGATAACTTGATCTACTGACCTGTAAACTAAGTGTTGTCTTCCCAGGAGCTGCATGCATGCACAGTACAGTTTAGCAGTTTTAGTGATTACCGGCTGCTTTAACGCTGTGACTTCAGAAAAAAAAGCACATCTCATGTCTTTTGAAATACATTTCCTTTTCTTCCTCTCTTTATTTCATTGGATCTCCCCATGTATCTCTGGTAGAAAGGATTCAGATTAAAGGAAACGACAAAAGTGAAGGATGTCAGGATGGACAGGACTTCAGGGGAACAAAAACGTATTTCAGTGGTGGGTTAGGGGTAGGGTCTGAAAAGGGACTTTGTAGCCAAACGGTGGGAGTTGCCACATTACAAACATTGACTTACTCTTTATTTTAATTAATTTTGAAATAGGAAAGTGGAATCCGGGCAGGTCTTAGATCTCCCACCCACCTGTCAGTCTATCTTGCCCTTATACAAATCCAGGAATAACTCAGGTCTTTGAGATGTGTCCAATATATTTTTTTTTTTCTTCTTAACAGTGTGCATTCAGACTAAAGCCTGTAGAGATGTTTGATTTTGATCATACTGATATCATTTTTCAACTCTGGAGGTTGTCTCTTGGGTTCCTTGTAGAACATAAAAAAGCACCTGGAAACATGAGTTCAGTCCCTGATCCGCTTTGCAGATGTAAAGCGTACCCCTAAGCCACCTTCACACTATAGTCTATAGATTTTTAAAAAAGTGCAAAATCCATTTGATCTTAGTGAATTACCTCTCAGTCTGTGCCTAATAATAACTGTAACCTCAGCCAAAGAGAATCAGCCTGTTCACTCTCATTTGCTCTCATTGTGCTGCAGAGCCAATGCCCGCCAGCTCCAATCCAATTAGCAACAGTGGCAACTCTCCCTCACTGCCCATTAATATGCTTTCTCAACTTTTTGTGGGATTAGAGAGGGGGGTAGGCTGTGTAATAAGGAAGTGCTCGCTGTGAGGTGTTGAAGGAGAGACTGACTGACTAACAGTGAGGTCGCAGCAGATATAACACCTGTCCTTGTGTGAACCAGCCAGCAGGGTTACAGAAGAAAAGTTTGCATTAATAAAAGAGAAAGTGCCAACCTGAATTTTTTCAACTGTACATATGTTTCTATCTGCTATTTCTTTTGTGGTTCTGGCCTGCAAAAAAGCATTACAAAATTAATGAATAGAATAAATTTGGAGGGAAAAAAAAATGTTCCAAGTGTATAAACCCGTGTTATCTGTGCAACGCAGCCATAAAAAGACTGACAGACTGAATATTGCAGATCCTCTTCAAAATTCTTAAGAGTGGTTACATCCACTAAAATCAATGAAAGAGTCACACAATGCATTAATTTTAGTGGGTTTCCCACAGAAAGTAGTAGAAAAGTAGTATTTTATGCCTGTAAATTCTTCTTCTGCATGTAAAGGATAGGATTAGCAGAGGTAAAAGGCATCACCTTCTCCATAAAGTGTACCTAAACTTGTACAAAAGGAAAGTTTCTCACTGAATATCATTGTCATATAGTAATTGTCATTACTACGCGGGCTGATGAGGGCTGTTTGTTCCCTCATACGACCGGTGTCAGAGCTTTTTCCGCCTAGCAGGTAGTAGGTTGGACTTGTTTCTAGTGAGGGTTGGACCCCACCAGGGCAGACTTTTGTCACTGATTGTGTTCATGACTTATATGGACAGAATTTCTGGGCTCAGCCAGGGTGTCCAAAGGGGTCAGATTTGATGGTCTGAGGTGGAGTGCCCTCTCCAGGTTGGGGGATGAGATGCTACCCCAAGTGGGGGAGCTCAAGTGTCTCGGGGGTCTTGTTCATGAGTATGGGAAAAACGAAGCAGGAGATCGATAGGCAGATTGGTGCGGCGTCAGCAGTGATGAGGATGATGCACTGATTTGCCGTTGTGAAGAGGAAGCTGGAAAGCGACCAGACTGGAGATAAGTGGTTAGATGGATGGATGGATGGATGGATGGATGGATACTATGTGACTGAGCTTAATACTTGATTCTGATTGGTCAAAACCCCTTGACCTGATTCTTATTAATACAAGGGAACAGCCACATCACAAATCAAATCAATTCTGTGGAGAAAAGATGGAGGGAGGAAAAACTTGCCGAATCCAACAAAAGATCTTAAAATGCAGTAGACACCCACTATCACAACAGCAACACATTATAAACTGTACCAGTATTTTAGGAATGGCTGAGTCAGAAGAAAATGGTCTATGTCACACTTTTGTGCTTTTGTGTTTAACTGGTTGACGCAGTGATTACAAAAGGACAATTTGATGTAAAATTATCTCAAACTAATCCTAACCAACACTGACAAAAATCTGATTTTTCATATAGACATTAAGTGCCTTGATCTGTTTCCAGTATCCCTGCAAGAATTAATATCATATGAATTTTCTAAAAAGCTGAGCACAGAGGAAAGCGTTGATGATAAGTTGTTTTTTCTCTCATAAATAAAAGGTTTTCGTCTTGTTGAAATGTTTTCACTGAGTCTGCATTAAACGTTTTATATCCCGGTACAAAACCCTCTGAGCTGCTGTAGCTATTTTATTTTGTGAAAGCAGCTCTTGATTATCATTGAGAGAAAATGAATCCTTGGAGCTAAGACTGAACATTTTCTTTTTCCTCCTGCCTAAGAATTTTATTTGTATGAATAATCCTAACACCAGAGCTCATGCCCTCTCTTGTTCTCAGCCGTGAATGAGCCTGGCTCCATCTGATCGCCAAAGTCTCTATAACTTTGCCCTGACTGTGAACATAACACTCCTGAGTGTTGCCTTGAAGAGGAAACACACAGCCACTTTGACCTGAGCTTCTCTAAGTACCTCTTCAGAAAGAGAGGACTGGCCTTTTAAAGTGTGTTAATTTTAAAAGTGAAAGATGTTGTGTATGGTATTCAAAAAGCTGCACATGCATTGTCCTGTTCTGCAGAACCAGAATTTGCTGGTTTGCAAAGAGCGGCTCTTGCAATAACTTCAACTTTTTAAAAGGTACTATACTGGACTTCAATGATCGCAGTAAAATAAAAGCCTTTGCTTTTGAACAAGGTTGTATAAGCTATTACAGCAATGAGTAATTTGAAATAAAACAGTCCTGAATTTTTTCTCTATTCTTGGACAGCCAGCATTGATGCAAAAAAATATCACGACTGTGTCTCTGAACTGCACATTTCACTTTAAAATCAGATAAAACAGTTGACAAGTCAGTCTATCTATTTAGCAGCCAATTTACAATGAATGTCATGTCAAGATAAAAACAGCTGGTCTTGACTACTCCTTGTTGTATTATCAAAGACCCTACAACAAGATAGGATAAGGTTGCGTCTTGTCCTGAAAGATAAGACCCCCTGCTATTCCCATTTTAATCCAACATGAGGGAAACACTTTCAAACTTGCTAAATACTATGCAGTAACAAAGAATAACCTTGCCCAGATTTAGTGTCAACTAACTCCCAAAAGCAGTTGGACCAAATTGCTCAATTCACCTAACTCCTCCCCTTAAGCCGTGTTTTCACCATTGTATATGTTGGGTGGTGCTGTACTGTACCTTGTTTCCTGAAGAAAAATGTGAGTGTAAATGCGAATCACAAGTATACAAACAAAGGTGATATTTATTACTGTGAGTGCTGTCTGATTATCTGTGTAGATGTAACCTGGGCTGCCTGACAAAAAATAAATTAATAAAACAGTTCATTATGTTTGTCTCTCTGCCCATCAGCAAAATATAATCTGTTATGTCATATAAGGGTTTAGCTGGATAAAATGAAAAGTGCTTTTTGTCATTATAATATAAAAGTCTTGGGTGATAATAATCACTGACTTTTGTGTTAGAAGCATCTTGAATCAGTGGCAAGAGGCATCAGGGACCTTTGAAAAAGAAATGCACAGCAACAGTGAGAACCAGCAGCCAGCACAGATTTTATTTTTCAAATGTTCTGCCTTTGTGCCCACATCTTTCACCACATTTCCAAAACCACCTATAAATCATAAGGTTAAAGAGCAAACAAACACTCAGTGAGGACAGAAAATCGTTGTTGCTCTGTTCTCTGTGGGTTTACCTCTG